CGAAAATTCACGAAATTTTGACATATTTTTATATGTTGATATATTGACGCGGTATCGATCTATTTTACTAATAAAATCTCACAAGAATTTGCAAAATATCACGAGAGTTTGGAACAGAACGATGAAATTTCACGAGATTTTGAAAGTAAAATATGAAAATATATTTGAGTTTATTATTTTTCGAAGTGTCAGAAATGGATAACAAAACTGCTATTTTCAATGACTACTTATTTTTGTCCAGCTTTAACATCGGTATCGATACCGGTTATCGGCTACATGAGTTTTAAAATATCGCCATATCGGTCAAAATCCCAATATCGTGCATCCCTGGTTTGGATCTGTTTCCAGGGTAACCTCACCACTTTTTCTCCTCACTTAATTGAGGGGTTCTTCCTATTTAGGTCTGGACCCCTGTTGGTAAACTGCAAATATGTATCGTTAAAAGTTGGGTAGGGTTCTCGCGATCCGATCTGTATCATCTCATCTCTCTTTAAACAGCTGCCTGAATTACATGGCTTAATTATGCATCATATTCATAGTATTGTTGTATACTATATGAACGTCCCACAGCAAATGATTAAAGTTATGGTAGTTAATAACAGCAATGGGAATTTCCATTTATAAAAATTTATGTTGGCTTTATGAACTGATCTTTAGGAATTGATACGCAAAACTTTTCAGAATTGTAAATTAGGAAGACTTTCCCTTCCTTGAGCAGGTTTGATGAACAGATGAGTGTTTTGGTCCCCAAGATAAAGTAATTATCCAAAAACTCCCATTAAAATCTAAAGAATACTCTCAATCAAGGTATATTTAGTGCGACTGTAACTCATTCTGAGCCTTTTTCATATCCCGTTCCTTCTCTGAAGGAATGTATGAGAATGTGATGTGTTTTTGTATTTTCATGTGTAATGTTAGCAACATTAGCATTTAGCCCTGGTTGGGTTACCATTATTTCCTTGTCTGTGATGCAATTGGTAAAAAGTTAGACCAGCTGAAAATCTTAGCAATTTCCTTTAGGTGGGTCCCTGATTGGTGGAATAGAGACGAAAGTAGAGCTAGCAAGACAGGCTCATGTTGGCATGGGGATAGCAAGGAGGGCTAATGTTGGCATGGGGATAGCAAGGAGGGCTAATGTTGGCATTGGGATAGCAAGGAGGGCTAATGTTGACATTGGGATAGCGAGGAGGGCTAATGTTGACATTGGGATAGCGAGGAGGGCTAATGTTGGCATGGGGATAGCGAGGAGGGCTAATGTTGGCATGGGGATAGCGAGGAGGGCTAATGTTGGCATGGGGATAGCGAGGAGGGCTAATGTTGGCATGGGGATAGCGAGGAGGGCTAATGTTGACATTGGGATAGCGAGGAGGGCTAATGTTGGCATTGGGATAGCGAGGAGGGCTAATGTTGACATTGGGATAGCGAGGAGGGCTAATGTTGACATTGGGATAGCGAGGAGGGCTAATGTTGGCATGGGGATAGCGAGGAGGGCTAATGTTGGCATGGGGATAGCGAGGAGGGCTAATGTTGGCATGGGGATAGCGAGGAGGGCTAATGTTGACATTGGGATAGCGAGGAGGGCTAATGTTGACATTGGGATAGCGAGGAGGGCTAATGTTGACATTGGGATAGCGAGGAGGGCTAATGTTGACATTGGGATAGCGAGGAGGGCTAATGTTGACATTGGGATAGCGAGGAGGGCTAATGTTGACATTGGGATAGCGAGGAGGGCTAATGTTGACATTGGGATAGCGAGGAGGGCTAATGTTGACATTGGGATAGCGAGGAGGGCTAATGTTGACATTGGGATAGCGAGGAGGGCTAATGTTGACATTGGGATAGCGAGGAGGGCTAATGTTGACATTGGGATAGCGAGGAGGGCTAATGTTGACATTGGGATAGCGAGGAGGGCTAATGTTGACTTTGGGATAGCGAGGAGGGCTAATGTTGACTTTGGGATAGCGAGGAGGGCTAATGTTGACATTGGGATAGCGAGGAGTGCTAATGTTGACATTGGGATAGCGAGGAGGGCTAATGTTGACATTGGGATAGCGAGGAGGGCTAATGTTGACTTTGGGATAGCGAGGAGGGCTAATGTTGGCATGGGGATAGCGAGGAGGGCTAATGTTGGCATGGGGATAGCGAGGAGGGCTAATGTTGACATTGGGATAGCGAGGAGGGCTAATGTTGACTTTGGGATAGCGAGGAGGGCTAATGTTGACATTGGGATAGCGAGGAGGGCTAATGTTGGCATGGGGATAGCGAGGAGGGCTAATGTTGGCATGGGGATAGCGAGGAGGGCTAATGTTGGCATGGGGATAGCGAGGAGGGCTAATGTTGGCATGGGGATAGCGAGGAGGGCTAATGTTGACATTGGGATAGCGAGGAGGGCTAATGTTGGCATGGGGATAGCGAGGAGGGCTAATGTTGGCATGGGGATAGCGAGGAGGGCTAATGTTGGCATGGGGATAGCGAGGAGGGCTAATGTTGGCATGGGGATAGCAAGGAGGGCTAATGTTGGCATGGGGATAGCAAGGAGGGCACTTTTGCAAGAATTATGTTAATCCAGAGGAACCAAAATCACATTTTGAGCAAGGTTTTAGGTTCACGCTGAAATCCCGGCCAGTCTCACATACTGTAATTTCTGGCAGATTTTATCTCAACAAAACACATGATTATACATGAAAAAAAATTAAATTGGGGGATGACTCCTTAAAAAAACCCTCCTACTTTTAGTGTTTGCAGTGTATTTATTATTAATTTAAACATCATGAAAGTCAATTTAAAAACTTTCATAATTTTCAGATAACTGCTTATGCAGTATGGGGCTGATCTGTATTCATTCTGATCATGAATCAGGTGGTAGAAACAGACCAGGGAAGGGATTGGATATCTCTAATGGTCACAGGATTATCTGGTTTCAGAGAGATGAACAAACACTTTTCAGTATTAAAAAAAGGATTAGCAGCACTCAGAGCTGAATGTGCAGAAATGGACTTTATAAAACATTTGCCTGCATGGGACGAACAAGAACTTCAAACTTTGAGAAGCAACATTTATTGTTGAAAAACTAAGCTCAAAAGCAACAAATTTAATAAATGTCTGTATTTGATTGGATCCAGTATTATGTTTTTAATGCACCTTTCTTCCATTATGTTTGATTACTTTCTGGCCAAATGTCACCAGAAACGGCTGCTGTACACACAGTATCCAGTTTCTGTCCCCAGCAGGGGCCCTTATAAGGTTTAACACTAAAGACTGGCAGATAAACTGTTAGTGTAAGCTCCGACCACACCAACAGCAGCAGCAAAAATGTGCGTGGTCGTTCGTTTTTTAATGCTTGTACAAGTTTAGTTCCGACGCGCTGCTGAAGCATCGTTACTGCTCTAGCTGCACCATTGAAAAGTGGGTCTGATGCGTGTTGGGCGGAGCTACCCTATCTTTCTTTGCCTGTAACAATGGCTGTGATCAGTGGGTAAAAAGTAGTTTTAATGGGTTTTTAAGTGAGAAACTGAAAACTTTATCTGAGCAGTCAGTCAGGGGAGTGATCATAGCACTCTGCATCAACAGTGCTGTGTCTGACTCCCTGCCAGCTCCCAGATCAGCTTCTCTGATTGGTTGATGCGGAGCGAGCAGTTTAAGTTCGATTTTTCAACTCTGCTGCTTCTGACTGCTAACTGATTAGACCTTTGTGTCTGATCTGTTAGATCTAAGAATCCAGAGCCGCCAGTGTCTCTTTGGTTCAGCGTCTCTTAATATTGAACCAGGAATTGTAGCTAACTTTTTGTTTCTTGTTATCTTTGAAGGTATTGGCTACGCCTCCATCGTGATCGTTTCCCTCCTGAATATCTACTACATCGTCATCCTCGCCTGGGGTCTCTACTACTTGTTCCAGGTCTGGATAGAAAACATTTTCTTTCTTAGTCGTCGAAATGGTTGTAAACTTGCTCTGATAGGCCTTCTCATTTGTTGTTCAGTGTTTCCAGCCAGAGTTGCCCTGGGCCAAGTGCAATCAGCCCTGGAACACCGATCAATGCATTGAGGACACTCTCCGCAAGAACAAAACCATCTATAACGCCACCAACGCCTCCAACGTTACCTCCCCCGTCACAGAGTTCTGGGAGTAAGTTCCATCCAGTCCTCCCCCACACTGCTCTAAATTCCTCCACATTCCTGCTGCTTGATGTTGTGCTTTCTAGCTGAGCATTTAGCGTGGACCTTTGTCTTGCAGACATAATGTGTTGGGGATCAGCAGTGGCATCGAGGACATCGGCCCGGTTAAATGGGACTTGGCCCTGTGTTTACTCCTCGTCTGGGTCATCTGCTTCTTCTGCATCTGGAAGGGCGTGAAATCAACTGGAAAGGTAAATAGATACGAACTGTTATTTAGAGGTTTATTTATCATTCCTCGCATAATGCGGATGGTAAAACAGGACTTGCTGTTCTGTTTCTCTCTCTTTGACAAAAAAGAACATTGTTTCTCACACGTTTGTTTTTGCTTATTCAACTGTTTTTTATTATTTAGCTGATAAAACTGATGTTTCTTTTGGTTTTCAACTCTTGGCAAACTGAATCCAAGCCCCGCTAACTAGCGGTTCATTTAGAACGCAACGTTCTAAACACCTGATAAGAGGCAATAAAGTTGCTGAAGCTTACAAAAATTTGCCCTTTGACAGAAATCAAGGTTGGGTCGGTTCTCCTCAAAGAAGGAGGATGAGACTCTCTGCCCTGAAGGTTCATATACAGCAGCAGCCATTCAATATTTCCCCACTTTCCTAGATGAATCCTTGGATGGTCCCCTACAAATACTTTTTAGACGTCTAAAATATTCTTTCAGTCATGATTTGTGGACATTAAGATCTAAAGAGGAGTGTTATCTCTTGGTCAGACCCTGTAATTCAGTGAAAGGGTGGAGTTGAAGTTGGAGGGGATTTTGCTGCCATTCGGCTGACTTTTGAATGGCAAGGGCCACTTTGAATGGCTGCTAGTGTAAGTCATTGATTAGCTGATACCTGTATCGGGCGGGGCCCTGATCCAGCACTAAAATGGTGGCATCGTTATAGGTGAGTAGCAACAAATGGGGCACCGATACCATTTTGAGAGCCAAAAGTTTAACTATTGTCACCAATTCCTGGTAGGCAATAAAAAGTTCTACTGGATTCACTTTGTATTAGTCATTTTCCTGCTTCCCAAAGGTAGGCAGCAGCTTGACAAAGCCATGATGGCAATTATTTTACATCCAAGTAGTATGCAGTTCTGGTATCGGGACCAAAAAATGGCATTGGCGCAACACTAATTAGCATAACCAATAACTATCAGAGCTTTGGGAAATGGTTTATACTGTGCCTATAAAAACACCAAACCTATTTTTCAACCAAAGCTGTATATGCCAAACCCTCATCCTGATGGTCCTTTAGAGCCTGAAAAGAATTATTTACACTGTATGCAATCAGCAGATGTAAACATCGCCATCTGCTGGCAGTACTTACTCACAACTTTGCAAGGGGTGTGGGGAAAAAAATCATTTTGGCAATTTATCGGGATTTTTTTGCTGCCTGCTATAATATAAATCTTTTAGTTCCTAGTGTCGATTTTTATTTTAAGCAAAACATTTTACCTAAAACTGAGGGAAAATGGGCTACCATTTTGTGGAGTGTACCACCACTCTGGCAGATGGCGCTGTGGAGGCCTTTTGCTGTGCAACGCAGCGCCATATCTGTAGATGAGGCAGTCACAGTGGAAGACGTGGACTGACTCAAACCCAAAGCAACATGGATACCAAAATAACTAAGCGATCAATATCATCTGAACATCTACAAAGGTTGCTTTTTTATTCATACATTTAACTTTGATAGCAGGAAAAATATAGCAAAATATGGTGATATTGGAATATAGTGATAACATTGTGTCGTGACGCTTATCGTATCGCAACACCCATGCCAATACTCACTAAGGATGCACGATATAATCGGGCCCCCTATCGGTATCGGCCTTAAAACTGAGTATCGGACATCGGCCACCCCACCGATATTTAACCTGATATTTGATCAGCTTCTGAGTTTCTAAAGTCTAAAAAAAAAAAAAAAAAAATACTACTACTTCTTCCTCAAAAACTTCTTTTTTACAGACTTAAAAACTTCTAAAGACGAGGGAAAAAATATCGATACATTAAAATATCCCAATATCTTCATATGCTGATATATTGCCATTTAAAAACACCATATCAATCTCTTACTAATGAAATATTGCTGTATGTCATTGTTATGCTACGAAATCCCCCGAAAATTCACCAAATTTTGCCATATTTTTATATGTTGATCTATTGACGCGGTGTCGATCTATTTTACTAACAAAATCTCACAAGAATTTGCAAAATATCACGAGAGTTTGTGACAGAACGATGACATTTCACGATCTTCTGTAAGTAAAATAGATCGATACCGCGTTTTTAAAAATCTATTTGATATCAGCATATGAAAATATATTTGAGTATATTATTTTTCAAATCGTCAGAAATGGATAACAAAACTGCTATTTTCAATGACTACTTATTTTTGTCCAGCTTTAACATCGGTATCGTTATCGGTTACATGAGTTTTAAAATATCGGCATATCGGATATCGGCCAAAATCCCAATATCGTGCATCCCTAATACTCACCCCTGAACATGGCATCTTCTGGACTTTAACTTCGCCTTCGAATATCTAGTTTTTGACTCTTCTCTACTTTAGAATGGCTTTGTCTCCATTCAAACCCATGTTTAAAGCCTTGCAGGGCAGCATAAAGCCCACTGCTCTCATTAACACAGAAAAAAAGAATAAAAACAGTCAGTTCAGGTGTTTTCCAAAAAAAGCGAGCTAGGAAATTGTCTATACACCAAACTGAAAGATAATGGTTCTCTATTTCAAAAAAAATTTGGATTTTAAAATGGAAACAAATTCGTTTTTTTTTTTTTTTTTTTTTTTTTTAAATTCAATGTATAACTTGGATGCATAAAAATCTTATTTTATTTCAGTGTTAAATTCTGTCTTAAAGCTACAGTGTGTAATAATTACAGGGATATACAGTCAGAAATGTAATATATTATACATAACTATGTTATTTATCCTCATCTACGAGCTCAGCCTCTTAACCTTAATATTTGCGTTGCCTTAGAATTCGTTATTTATAATTACATAGGAGCGGGTCTCGCAGCCATGGAGGCAGACATCTTTGCGCTACGGCAGCGCAGAGCCAACAAACTAGCGATTGTGAGATCGCCAAAACGTCACAACAATGTAGAAAAAATAACGGGTATATTTATTATCTTAAGTCTACATGAAATCTATACCCTACACAGACTAATGAAATACTATCTGTAAAATTATCTATGTAAACAAACCTCATCACTTGAGAAGGTAGGGGATGCGGACGTCGTGGAAGACATTTTGTCCCGTAACGCTCGCCGTACTGTTTGGGAGGTGAAGCGGTGGGGGGGAGATGTTCATGTTGCTGCAGTCTGCAGTCTGACCGCTAGATGTCGCTAAAAGTTACACACTGTAGCTTTAAGTAACAGATTCTAATAAAAAAACAAAACCTTTTTTTTTGGAAAAAAACGAACATCTGTAATGGAACCAGATATACTGGGACAGCGGTGTTGCAGTCACTTCGAAAGCTGAGAGGTGCGTTCAGTATTCATGCTTCTGCTCGTCTGTTTGTTCTGCCTCAGGTGGTTTACATCACGGCCACGTTCCCATTCGTCATGCTAATCGTCCTGTTGATCCGTGGCGTAACTCTGCCAGGTGCTTCTCAGGGCATCAAGTTCTACCTGTACCCTGACCTTGAACGCCTCAAAGACCCAGAGGTAGGTTCTGCCCTTTGTTTTATGAATGCCTCTTTACTAATTTACTGAGAACTTCCTAGTTGGACCACACATGTTCTGTGTTTTGTTCTGGGTTCAACTGAATGTCAATGAAGTTTTTTCAGAGAAATTTAGATACTAGGATATTTTAATCAACTAAAGTTATTAAAATTTTTCATTATAGGAGTTATAACCTGGTATTTTATAGATGCAATCCTTGTGAAATAATCATAAAATTCACGTTTAATGAAGAAGTATGCTGGTGAAGATTCTCAGTCATTCCAAAAAAGTTGAACAATCCACTGGACTTTGATTCCAAGTTTGAAGCTGTTTCGCTTCCCATCCAGGAAGCTTTTTCCAATTCAAAACATTTTTTCAATTCAAACTTTTGAATTGAGCAGAAAAGCCAAACAGCAGCATGTAGTTAGCAGGCGGCTCCTTATCAGCAGGCCTCAGCCTCTCCGTCCCTCTCTCCTTAAATGGCAGGTGTGGATCGACGCCGGCACTCAAATATTCTTCTCTTACGCCATCTGTTTGGGCGCCATGACGTCTTTGGGGAGCTACAACAAGTACAAATACAACTGCTACAGGTGAGTCGTCAGTTTTCAGGGGGCGGGTGGGGTGTGGTGTGGTAGGGGAGAGAGTGGGTGTGGGGGAGGGGGGTGTCACGGGATCCTTGTGTGTTCATTAACAAATCCTCCTCATGACATATGTGTGACATAGGGACTGTTTGCTGCTGGGAGCCCTCAACAGTGGTACCAGTTTTGTGTCTGGCTTCGCAATATTTTCCGTCCTGGGCTTCATGGCACAAGAGCAAGGGGTGGACATTGCTGAGGTGGCAGAGTCAGGTACGAGGGTTCTGTAAAGGCGGCAGTGATGGTGGGCGCTGCTTCCTGGTTAATTAATTAAATAACAGTGATTTCCAAAGAAAAACAGCAACGAAACCCAAAAGAGAATTAGCGTTTGCGCTCATTTTCGAACTTGAGTGCCAATTTAGCAATCTAAGGGGTTCCCTGATTAAAACACAAATGACGGCATCGGAATATGGAAGCTTCCGCAATCAAACACTTCTTGACAAAAGCAGAGTTTTTTTAGAAGATGAGAACCTATTTGGTCGGTTTGTTCGCGCTCCTTTAACCATGCGAGCTGACGCAGAGGGAAAGATAAAGTTCTGCTGGATCTTTTTTTTTTTTTTTTTTTGAGGAAAGCTGCTGTGGGATAGTTTACAGCACGTCTTGTGCCAATGCCATGCTTTACCAGCCGAGGTTTGGTTCCCCTTTCCATATGTTTGGTGTTCAGCAGCCTGAGGCCTGTGGTGTTCGGGGTGGTTTCTATGGATACGTTCACACAGTAGCCTTAATTGACCCAAATCCAATTTCTTTTCTTTTTGCCCATATGCGACCTGTATCTGATCTTTTCATGACAGTCTGAACAACTCGGATCAGATTTTTTCCATTGCGACCCAGGCCACTTGGCCCTGTGGTCCTCAATCCGATACAAATCTATTATTAAATGCGACCTGTGGCTAAACAGCCAGGTCGCATTTATCCAACCTGTACACCATTAATACCTGACAAAGGTCACTATTTTGCATCTTGCTACGCAGAACTGGGAAAAAAAAACAACACCCATGGCGGACGATAATGCGGAGGGTGTATTGATGTTTAACCATGTTGAAAAGATTGTGTTTTTAAGGTTGGGAAATATCGCTAGATGCACGCCATGTTTACTTCCGTTACCACAGGACACGTTTGCTCTACTGCACATGCGGGACTTGCGTTGTATGAATGCAGTCCACACAGGAGATCACAGAAGTTGCATATATTTGGAAATGTGAAAGGCAAAGCAAGAAAATCTGATTTCTTAAAAAAAAATCGGAATTGAGAATTAAAGTCCTAGAGAAATCATATATAAATATCAAATCATTATGGCTCAAATATTTATATAAATGTACTCTTTATCAGATGATATTCACCCAAAATTTAGAAAATATCTCTTTAAAAAAAAAAAAAAAAAAAGTTTTCTTGTCCATTATCTTATCCAGGCCAGTTAGTTATACGTCAGCCTGAAATTCGGCCAATCATATATCAACGGTCATCTGTCAATCAAATGTTTTTCGGTCATAGCATCTTGATTCATATGTTGCAGCTAATTTCGCAACGGTTGAAATAAGAAATCAGAATCATTTCCTTTCCCATTGAGTTGCGTCCCAGTGTTCATGGGGATGGACGTCTGTGTCTTCGGCAGGCGTAGAGCTAACAGAACTGGCAGCGTTGCGAGGCAAGGGCTCAAACATGTACGGCTGGAAGCCTTCTACACCAAACCGAGCTTCTGGCGTCCTCTTCCACAACATCTTCGTCCCCGCTTTCCTCCTCTAAATAAAAAATGGATGACGGAGGAGACTCATCCACGACCTCCGACACTAATATCTCCTCCTCTTGCATGTTTCCTCTGTCCATAGCGTTCCTTGACAGCGTCGTTTCTAAGTCACCAATTTAGTGCTACTTGGTCCCAATGGAATTTCCAATCGGGACCACGTAGCAATTGTTGTGGCGATATTTCCCACCACGACAATTCTGCCCTCTTGATAAATTACCAATGATTCACTTTATTCACTCGTGTAAAGTCGTGCACCACTCGGGAGAATTCGGAAATTTTACGGTTGGAACGTCCGTTTCCCTGCGACTTTAAGGTTGGGAAAGATCGCTGGATGCGCTCCAGGACTACCATCCATGTTGTCTTCCGTAAACACGGAGCACATTTGCTTGTGATGTCACTACGTTCTCTACTGCGCATGCGGGACACATGCGTATCAATTCAGTTCAGACAGAAGATCACATACACCTCGCATATATTTGGAAATGTGAAACGCAACGCAAAAAAACGAATTTCCCCCCAAAAAATCGGAATTGAGCCTTAAGGGCCTGCAGTGTGAACGTAGCCTATGATTGGAGCTGTTGTAGGGTGACCAGCTTTATCATTTTGCCAGTGGATTGGGGTCATGTAGCCTAACAATGAAGCTAATTAGTGAAAACTAGAACCCCCAGATTACTGTGGACGTTTGGTCTTTTTGTCTGAAAGAATCACGCAAGGATTTCATTTTATTATCTACTTCTGAAGACAAGGGTAGAACCCTGATGTTTCATGACTTATTCTGTGAATCAACAATGTCAAAAAAGGTCTTAAAAACGTCAATAGAGACGGACGACTACTTTGTTTGCAGGAATTTGTTGTGCTGTTTTCTTTCAAATGCTCCCTACTTTGATTATTTAATCCTCCTTGGTGGCACGCTGTTTAAGAAGGAAACATTCACGACTTCATAGAAAGTCTTTTTCTTCATCAACAGGTTTTTAAAGCGACACACAAAGTCTCAAGATAAGCCAATAAATTTAGCTTAGCAACGCTTTCTCAGTTACGCAGCCAGTCAATGCTAACGTTGGGCAGTTCTGTAACGCTAACCTGCGTTAGCGTTGGCGAGTTAGCTGAGGTGTTTGTGAGACAGGCACAGATCCACAGATTTTTACTGAGAACAAGGAGCTAAACAATGTAGCCACCAAAACAGAACAGACTCCAGGAAGGAAAGTTTGAAGCTAAAAGTTAGCATCAAGTGTTCAGAACAAACAACATGTAGCAGCTAGATTTTGAAGTCCCAACGGCATTAGCTTAGCATCATTGTTTAATTAGCTTTAGTTTATTTAGCTCAAGATTGAAAGGAAAATGAAAGCTTCTAAATATCTTAACACATCATGCTTTAGAGCTCTGGGAGCGTTTTTCCTCTTAGGGCCGGGGAGTTTTCAGTCAACGTGGTGTTTGGTTGGATGCCTTGTCATAATTTGCTACCAAATGGAACATCTTGATATGCCCAACTATCAGCTGTGATGCTGTTCTGCTGTTCTGGCTGCTTCCTTGTTCCTCACTGCAAAAACTGATTTCAAAGGAAGAAAGATTTCTCTAATCAGTGTATTTTCCCTTAATTTGAGCAGGTAAATAAGCTGATCTGCCAATGGAAGAAGGATCTTGGGCTTAAAGAGGATTAAATTATGGTCTGGAAGGGAGATCATAGAGAATATGGCTTTCCGGGCATACACTGTACGAATTTTTTCAATCATTGGACGCAGCTACAGATCACACTGTATGACGAAACTGCAGGGTTTAAAACAGGGTTTCAGCCGGTCATTAAATTATCACTTTTTAAATTTAGGCCTGAATTGGCATTGAAATTCATTAAGTCTCATTATTGTGGCATTTAAAATTCTTTATTAAAAAAAAAAGGTTTATAAAAACAATTTTGTCAGATATATGACAATATATTTGCATGGAACTGCTTGCGGTTGATCTTAAAGCCGTATGTTCAGAAAAGAAGCTCGACGCGGAGAAGAAGATAGAGAATGAGGAAAATGCTAATTGGAACAAAAGTGGCTGGAGACATGGCTACAGCCTGTCGACGGCAAAGATGACGAAAGATTCTGCCGTGTATATATGAGAGTCATGGGTACTTGTTGTTCACGTTGAAATTATTCCTGAGAGCATTAAAAGAACATTAAAAAGCATTAAGTTAGTTACTCATTCTTTCAACCCTGTAAAAAAGCTCACAATGTTTGTTCTCACACGGTGATACCCAACACCAAGATGCTACGACCAAAAACCACTCTGCTCCGCAGCTACTCATATCTTGGTTAATTGTGGGATTTTTAATGTCACGTCGCTGGCTGTACTTAATGGGATAAAATGCTAAACTGATGCTACCAAAGTTTGCACTGCATGTACACTACACAAAGCACGATCAGGCTGAAAGTTGGCCCGATCGAACAAAAATTCTCCTTCGACTGGAAAATCGTAACCTGACTCCGCCAGATGGATTTGCTCCGCATAGCCATCTGGAAACCTTCTGTAGAAGTAATTTTGGGAAGGGGCGAATATAATGGTTAGCTGATTGTCCTATGTTGGTGATAGACGGGCCAAATAAACCAATCAGATCAACGAAGCATATGACGTAACAGAGCGACGACGAAGAGGAGCCAATTGATCAAACTCTTGCCGAAACCAGTCGGGAGAAGAGCAAAAACATCATTTCCTCTGAGAAAAGCCTCTAGAGCAGTGTTTTGCTTTTCTTTCAGTGAAGAAATACTCCGATAAGATTTGCTCGATAGCCCCGCTAGCACTAGTTTAATCGGCTGAAGCCGCCATGTTCTTTAGACTGAACGGTCGCGCTTCTCGTTGCGTCACACCTCAACCCGCCTCAAAGCCAACGCTGATTGGACGTTCGTTTGGTGAACGGCTCCAAATTTTCTTTAACGGAGAGTCTCCAGACTGATTAGCGAAGCCTTGAAACCTTGAAAGCTCGCAAGATCAGGATGGTCTCACGAGGCTAGGAAAATCGGCCCAAAAAGGGCAAAAAAAATCGTACAGCGTATGCCCGGCTTTATTTGATGCATGGATAATCTGCTTCTTTTGGCCATTTGTCTGACTTGCCTCCATAAATCAAAGGAAAATACACGTATTTGAAGAAAGATGGACTTGGTTAGATTTCAGTTTTAGCAGTGCTAACGTTTTGTTTCCTGGTTGAAGCTTTAGTTAAATTCGAACCTCCTGGAAACGAATCCCTAAATTTCCTCAGACCTGTTTTCCATCTGCTGCAGTTTTCCAGCGGCCCTTTTGGGTTCCTGGCGTTTCAGTCGGGGATTCAAAACGGCCGGAGGGACAGACAGACTTTATGGACACACCTCGGTGTGCTCCTGTTTTCTTTTTCTCCCTTTTTTTTTTTTTTTTTTTTTTTTAAACATTTGGCCTTTTAATGTAGACACTCCTTACATGCATCCTGTAATATTTCTCTTCTAACTGACTTATTTCCACAGAGATACAAACATGTTTATGATTGTGCTTTATCATGCTTGTTTTTATTTTTTAATTGTAATTGAATAACTTTGTGCTGTGAATGAAATGAAATTGTCGTGTGTTGCGTGTGTACAGTTAGTGTCATAAGGCTCTGCGAGTGGGAGGTAAGTGAAGATGTGCATTTAGATCAATCCTTTGAATTCTTTCTCCAATAATAATAGTCATGCTAACCTGCTGTGTGCTCTAGCTAAGAACTGATCAATTATTCACACCTGCTCTGCGTGGCTTGTTCGGGGGCACCCCCCCCCCCCCGAACACAACCATGCAGATCAGATGATTTTATGGTTTGATCCTGATGTGCCCCCCTCGCCCCCACTCTGTCTTCTGTCCCTGCTCTTCTGCAGGTCCAGGCCTGGCTTTCATTGCCTACCCCAAGGCTGTTACCATGATGCCTTTCCCGACACTCTGGGCCATCCTCTTCTTCATCATGCTGCTGCTGCTTGGCCTCGACAGTCAGGTCAGCTGATCAACTCGGCTCTTTAACTTGTAAAAAAAAACAAAACAAAAAAAAACCTTTATGAATAATAAATTGGATGTCAGAGCGCGGAATCCCCTGGTGGGTAATTTATTCTTGGGGATTCCAGCCGTTCTGTTGGAGGATGTTAGAACATCAGGTTCCTCCGGAGCATCGATCTCCAGCCAGGTCTCCAGTTCTCTGACTGCCCCTGAATGCCTCTCCCTGATAAAAGCGACCCATTATCAGCCGAACGAAGCTGTGCTGAGGCTGTTTTTCAGTTCAGTTCAGTTTATTTCTATAGCACCAATTCACAACACGTCATCTCAAGGCACTTTACAGTTCCCCAGATCATCCAGTCAGATTGATTCAAAGTTTTCTATCTAAAAACCAGTTGATTGCATCGATTAGTTGACTCGAATGCAATCCCTCACACTAAGCACGCTTAGAGCGACAGTGGAGAGGAAAAACTCCCTTTGAACAGGAAGAAACCTCCAGCAGAACCAGGCTCAGTGTGAGCGGCCATCTGCTGAGGCCCACTGGGGTTCAAGGAGACAGAAGCAGACATAGAAAAAGAAGCATAGATACAAAAGGCAACTGTCAACCAGCTCCACAGGCAGCCCCGTCCAGGAAACACAGCCAGGCAGGCAGACGAGCTCCGAGCCAGCTCCCATGTCAGAGGATGAAGAGAGCACATCCAGTTAGTCACAGTCAGAGAAACAGGACTACACTGAAAAACACGCCAAAATCCAACATCTATTATGGTTTTTGCTTTTAGTGTCATGAAGCCAGAACTGTGCCAGACATCCACATTGGTGATACTAATACCTAACCTGACAACAGCCAGATGCATGTCTCACTCCGCCTAGCTCCACTCACATACATCTGGGAACCCGCTCATTGAAAGTGATTTCCCCAACCAAATTTATGGTCTGTCCAATCAGGACGCAGGGCGGGTGTGTCCTGGAGTGGAGAAGCGACCGTGAGATTCCAACAACAATGGCGGCTCGCATCGAGGAAGCAAGCGTTAGCATTGATGCTGCTATTTCTTCTGTGTTGTCCAATCTATCTGATATTGTTTCATTAAAAGAACATCAGAGAACGGCTTTGAAGGCTTTTGTTGGTGGAAACGATGTTTTCGCCCTTCTCCCGACCGGATTTGGCAAGAGCTTGATCTACCAAATGGCTCCTCCTCTCACAGCGTCACGGGTTAGCTTCGGTGTGAGTGGTTGAAATAGCACGTCAATAAAGATGACAGACAAGTGGCTTATCCAATCATATGCAAGGAGTTTTGATAAGGCCCAGCCTTCAGTAAAGGCAATTCCTATGGCGGGTTCCCAGATGTATGTGAGTGGAGCTAGGCGGAGCGAGACATGCATCTGGCTGTTGTCAGGTTAACTAATACCAGCAGATTGATTAAAACGGACACACTTATTAAAAGGTCCAATATGTCCCACGATTGACTCCATCTTGCTTTCTTGGTTTTTATCCTCTCATAGATTCTCTCCTCTTTGCCGGTTGACTATTTTCTGTGTCTCATCACAACTTTTTTTTTCATTTTTTAGTAGATCCCGCCTCTTTGGAGGCAGTACAGTTTCTCTTTGGAAAGCCTTGCTGCTTGTCCGCCATGTTTTTTAGCATAGTTCCTACTTCTATAAGACGCTGTGCGTCCATTTTGTTGGCTTCAGTCTCAGTTGCTGTCTCGGTGTGCGGTAGAAGAATGACTCAAATAGCGACCCACTTAGTAAATAGATTCTTTGTTTTTTTCTCAGCAAAAGCGTAGCTGATAAAGATGTTTCTGCAACATTCAATGGGGTTCAGTGGGGGAGTGTGGATTCTGACCAGTGTCTGGTTTCTTCCAGTTTGTGGAGGTGGAAGGGCAGATCACATCACTGGTGGATCTGTATCCGTCCTTCCTAAGGAAGGGTTACTGCAGAGAGGTCTTCATCGCTATCATCTGCTGCATCAGCTACCTGTTTGGACTTACCATGGTGACCAAGGTAGGAACAGAAAAACCAGGAAGTGAAATGACTGAAGGCAAAATATGGAAAGGAAAAATCCTCTTTAGAGAATGTAAACAGAGGCTTCTGGTGACCTGCTTTTGGGTGCATGTGGTCCAAACCAGAGCTGCTATTACTGTCAGCCCCATGAGAAGCGGGGGGGCGGGGGTGTTCCCATGACTTTTAGTGTCAAGTCATGAGAACTTCCTCTCCACTGTAGGTATTAATAGTTACAGAGCCCGTTTATTTCCCAAATGTTCCTACGTGTTTTCTTCTGCTGGACTCTTTGCTTTTTTTCCCTTTTCTAAAAACAGTTAATTTGACCCAGTTTATCTAATTTTAGTTTTTTAGGAGATTATAAATTAAAATAAGCCTTTTTTTTTCCAAATCTCCATATTTAATTATTTTCCTCTTTTCTCAAATGTCTTATTCAGCTTTAGGCTTCCAAGGATTAAGAATATTTTTTCCTGTAGTGTTCAGACAGGGGAAGGCCAGGTTACCATCACTTTGTTCTGTCAGCAGCTGAGATTATAGAACCACTTTTTTTTTTTTTTTTTTTTGTCATCGACCTCAGATGACTCAAAGCTGAATCTCTGCCCCATTTTTTTCCTTCCTACCAAACACTTCCTGCACACTGAGTTTTTAGGGCGTATTTATATTGAAACTGCGTCTGAAAGCGTGTGTTTCCCTGCAGGGTGGCATGTACGTTTTCCAGCTGTTTGACTACTATGCAGCCAGCGGTGTGTGCCTTCTGTGGGTGGCATTCTTTGAATGTATAGCTGTTGCCTGGGTTTATGGTGAGTATTTTGGTTTCTTTTTTTTTTATTCTTTTTAATCACCTGAACATTTTCTCTGTATGTGTTTCTCTTGTTTTTTTTTTTTCTGGAAGTAGGGGTATTTCCCTTCGTTATCTAGCCTCGTGAGACCATCCTGATCTCGCGAGCTTTCAAGATTTCACTAGCAGATCAGTCTGGAGACTCTCCGTTAAAGAAAATTTGGAGCCGTTCACCAAACGAACATCCAATCAGCGTTGGCCTTGAGGCGGGTTGAGGTGTGACGCAACGAGAAGCGCGACAGTTCAGTCTAAAGAACATGGCGGCTACAGCCGATGAAACTAGCGTTAGCGTGGCTATCGAGCAAGTTTTATCGAAATTACAGAGTATTTCTTCACTGAAAGAAGAGCAAAACACTGATCTGGAGGCTTTTCTCAGAGGAAAAGATGTTTTTGCTCTTCTCCCGACTGGTTTCGGCAAGAGTTTGATCAATTGGCTCCTCTTCGTCGTCGCTCTGTTAGTACGTCATATGCTTCGTTGATCTGATTGGTTTATTTGGCCCGTCTATCACCAACATAGGCCAATCAGCTAACCAGTATTTTCGCCCCTTCCCAAAATTACATCAACGGAAGGTTTCCAGATGGATATGCGGAGCAAATCCATCAGGCGGAGTCAGGTTATTCGTTATCAGCCCTTACGGCTATTATCTAATATTCAATGAAATAAAGATTTTTGTATTTAAGGACAAAATACATTCATTGTAAGAAAGATAGATCCCTTCTAGCGGATTTGGAGGAAGTCAGTCAGATTACAGAAGAAATAAACAATCTAGATTGGACTCTTCAAGCTCATCAGAGGCCAGGCAGTGCTGCTGTAGTGCCTTACAAAATATCTATCAGAAAATTTAGTATTAAGTTCAAGGTCTGCAGCTATAATTATTTTGCAAATTGATGAATTTATTGATTCAAAGTTGCTTAAAGATGTTTTGGAGAATTTAAACAGGTGAAGCTATAACTGTGCCACTTGAATCGTTCTGCATGGAGCCGATTATCTCACTAAGAAGGTTTTCACCTTAAATGCAAAATATTTAGACGTGTTTTGGGATAATTATTGGCGTGTGCTCCAGTCTGTAAACTCCTATTAATAATTAGTTCTTTACTAAACTAGCTGGCTTTTATTTGAATAATTAATGAATCACGATTAACTATTTCAACCCTTTTATAATTAAAATTATCTTAATTTATATTCAGTTTTATTTATTCCCATCCTGTCATCTCAGGCCTCTTAATAGATCTAGAGCAATCGGATCATCCAGTTAGATTAAACTTTTCTGTCTAAGCAAAACCAGCTGATTGCTTACAGTCATTGACTGTGCATGAATACGGCGACAGTGGAGAGAAAGACTCCCTATTTACTAAAAGGAAACAGTAAAAATGGCAAATCATTGATGCTTAATCCTAGATTCTATTTGTTAGATTTGGTGGAAAATATTGTTCTGATTCAGCCGTTAATATATTTACCATCTTAACTGGTTTGATTTGATGAGCTCCCTGCTAAACTTCAATGTGGTTCAGATGACCTAGGTTGTTTCTTTTTATTTTTTTTTATTCCTACGGTTTGGTTTGAGCAGGAAGATGCGTTTACTGCCATGAAAGTTTTACTGCTGACAAATAAGCAGCTGTTGTTTCTGCAGGCGCTGATAATTTTTATGATGCAATCGAGGACATGATTGGCTACAGACCAAATCCTTGGATGAAATGGAGCTGGACTGTGATCACTCCTTTACTGTGCATGGTAAGGAACGCACTTTTCCTCTCTGCATCGCTGCTAGTTTCTCTCCACCTTGATGATTGTGGTTTTTAAAAGCAAAGACCTTGGTTTGAAAGCACTGCTTCTCCTCCCCAGAGCTGCTTTATCTTCTCTCTGGTCAAATACAAGCCATTGACATACAACAAGGTGTACCAGTATCCTGACTGGGCCATTGGGATAGGCTGGACTCTTGCCTTGACCTCCATGATCTGCATCCCCATGGTGGTGGTCATCAAGATCATTCAGTCTGACGGGCCGCTGATTGAGGTTAGTAAAACCGACTTCAGTTCGAAACATAAGAGAGTTGGTACGTTTCCATTCAACATCATCTCTAATTACATGACAGTCGTTATAAAACAAGCCAGTCTGCAGCGAGGAAGCCGCTATCAGCTGTGCTAACGGTCACTAGATTGGGTCATCGCCTAACTGGCCTGTTTGGTCCTAATTTGCAAAGTTATAACCAAAGTTCATGAATGAATCTTTTTGTATCAAGTTGGCACAGGGTGGATGAAATAAAGTTTAGGGCCACAGTTTCAAGCTCCACTGGTGTACAGCTCAGTGGGTTGTGTCCACCTTCATTAATGCGCGGCCGCTGCAGGTTTGGCGTGGAAAGCGGTCATCTCTGATGCTCCAATGCTTTACTGTGAACGTAGCAGTAGTAACAAATAGAGAAGTATATGTATATATTTTTTTACATCTGTACAATCTTTCTGTCCTGCAGAGGATTAAGGCCGTGGCGGCCCCAGCTCGCGGAGGTGCTAGCTCCCGCCCTGCGGACCACCGCGTCCCGAGCGAGCTCACCTGCCCCCTGGACCCCAACGGAAACAACGGGGTTACGGCGAAGGCTCCCACCCACACCATCGTAGAAACCATGATGTAAAGGGGTGAGGAGGAGGCTCTCCATGAGAACGCCCTCTTCCCCTCTCCTGTCCTCTGAAACGCTTCTAAAGCTAGCTAGCTATCTGTCTGTCTGTGTCTCTCTGGACTGATTAAGGGTTCAAGGAAATAAAAACTCACATTTCAAATCTTTTTAGAAACGCTTGAAGGGAGCGGTTATTAGAAAAACAGAAATCTCTCTGGGATTCTCCTCCGATAGCTTTCATGCGGAGTGGTTGGAGGAATTAGCAGCTGACATAACTTTCACCTTAGTGGTCAGTCCATTAAATTCTAACACCTCCAGATTATTAGATGTAAAGCATCCAGAAGACAAGTCATCACCGGTTTGCTGCCTGATATTTTCAATTATTTACCATAAGAAGCTGGAAACCTGTTTTAGCAGAGCTGTGAAACTGTAGCAGCTATCGGCTAAAACCAGAGAAGCTCTGAAAGGATTTGAAGTGTGCAGTTGGGACCCTTGAGTGTGTTGTCTGTGGCGTACTGTACAGTAGTAGCTATCAGTCGATCTATATCTATCTCTATCTTTCTGTGTCCTAGACCAGTTTACAATATGTAAGTTACTGCAGTAGGCACTCTTGGCTTAAAGTTTTGGATTGAATTTGTTTTGGGTTGTTTTTTCTGCAGAGGAGGTTTTATTATTATTACTATTGTTAGTTTTTTCCTCTGTCAGTGTTTAGAATCATTTATTATTATTATTATTATTGGTATTCACTATTGAATTGCTGTAGTTTTACATAGAGAAGGAACCCTTCTTTCATTTGGTGAAAATATTAAGCTGATATACTGATCACGTATTTCCAGTGGCAGCCTTTATAGCTCAGTCATCATCGTGTATCTCTTGGACCACCTTTTTTCACTTTGATTTTCATTTTTTTGTTTGGTGTAACACAAACTCATTTCCCAAATGTTCTCCTGTAAGAGTTATGGGTCTGTTGCTTTGCGACCACTTGGATGTTTGGGCGAAAATGGAAATTTGGCAGTGGGTCTGCGGGTTGTGGGGGGGTGGGGTTACCAGCAGTCACTTCTGTTTCCTTATTGCTCATCGAATGACCGACAGAAATCTGAAAGGGTGCGTCCAAGTGGCGCTGAGAGGCACAAAGCCGTGCTGCTACAGTTTGGGTTCCCAGAATAGACAGATTGACCACTTCTAAGAAATGAAATGGTTAAAATGAGCTCCAGACTAACTCTAAATTAGCTCTAATCCAGGCCCAGTTTTGCTTGATGCACATACGGTCCACACGATAATAAAACAGTGCAGACAGCTTTTAGTCTCTGTGTAGAGATCACGCAGACGCTGTGCAGACCCGAGGCATAGTCTGGCCTTGCGGGCATTGCGCAGATGCGGAGTCTGGCCGGGCGTGGCTACGCGAATGCGTAGTCAGGCCGGGCGGAGGCTACGGGAACGCGTAGCCTGGCCTTGCGGGCACTGCGCAGACGTGTAGCCTGGCCGGGCGGAGGCTACGAAGACGCGCAGTCTGGCCTTGCGGAGGCTACGCGGACGCTCAGTCTGGCCTTGCGGAGGCTACGCGGACGCTCAGTCTGGCCTTGCGGAGGGTACGCGGACGCGCAGTCTGGCCTTGCGGAGGGTACGCGGACGCGCAGTCTGGCCTTGCGGAGGCTACGCGGACGCGCAGTCTGGCCTTGCGGAGGCTACGCGGACGCGCAGTCTGGCCTTGCGGAGGCTACCCGGACGCGCAGTCTGGCCTTGCGGAGGCTACCCGGACGCGCAGTCTGGCCTTGCGGAGGCTACCCGGACGCGCAGTCTGGCCTTGCGGAGGCTACGCGGACGCGCAGTCTGGCCTTGCGGAGGCTACGCGGACGCGCAGTCTGGCCTTGCGGAGGCTACGCGGACGCGCAGTCTGGCCTTGCGGAGGCTACGCGGAGGCTACGCGGACGCGCAGTCTGGCCTTGCGGGCATTTTGCAGACGCGTAACGTGGACCCTGTGGTGTATCAAGTATAAACTAGGCGTAACTCAGCTGAAGGTTGAAGCTGATCTCATTTCCAAATTCATGAAACTTTCTCTTTTTTAAATGTTGCTGTCCTACTCAAGAGTTTGTTAAATTTCTAAGATAAGCTATGAAAAGTTCAAATCTGGCACTTTGTTTAGTTCCTGAACAGTTTTTTAACATTTGGTGAGATTAGGAGGATTATTCTCATATGAAGAAGTTAGAAATGTATAAATTAAAGTTAAGGAGGTTAAAATGAGAAGTTCTCCATCTGGGTTGATTGAAGCCATGAGATGAAAACTACATGTAATTCAGCAACAGTAACCAGGAGCCATAATGTTGATTATGTACAGTAAGCTGTTAACAGCAGACTAGTTGGATACAGTTTAACGTGACAGAAGGGTTTTCTGTGTGTCTCACCAGCGACCATCTGCTCAGGACCTTTAAAGCTTTCGTCTGCTTCATTTTGCTTTAGAACCGTTTTCCTATCCGTCGGGAACGAAGTTGTAGCATTTGGAGCGTTTCTTTCCGATGCGCTTTAAGGAACGTTCGCTCAGATTGGCACACAAAATCAAAAAAATGACGTCTCTACTGCCTATGTTCTACACAATCAAGGTTAAACGTACACTGTGGCGAGTTGTTATTTGCACTTGAAATGATGAGGCCAAAAAATCGAAGGGTACTCGGAGGTGGAAGGCACGGAGGCGGGAAGTCGTACAGTACCCAGGATTTCCCCGTATTTGACCAAAAACTTCCCATTGGAGGCGGCACAGCAGCTTTTCTTTGTCCTTTTTTCCCGCTTTACTGTAGTGTGTTTCATTAAAGGGATTTGTTAAAGCAGATCCACAGCAGACATCTATTTTCATACGACCTTTCCTGTACTCGGCTTCCATTTAAACGCACATACACGGCTTCAGTGTATTCAGCAACGTTTGTACAGATCTGGTTCCCCTGAAGGATCTTTGCACAACAACAAGGACTTGGCCTCATTCAGAGTCCTGCGATCTTGAATCTGGCCATGCAATAACTTTTTTAGATTTAAAACCGCAGTGGAAATACAAACAATTCAGGTTTTTAATGTGTTTTTTTTTTTTTTTCTCTACAAATCTTTAGCAACACCTCCGACTTGTTTGATAAAAAAAAAAACCAAGTCCTGGTAACGACTTGCAGGTGCTAAGGTCCTTCTTTTTTCAGGGATTTATTGACCAGACTATTAACCAATGCCGTCATTTCTGGGTTTATTCTGCCTCTGTGTATTTTCTGTTCGTAACCAGCCCATCAGCCTTTTACACTCCTGCTGTTCTTAACGCCTGAGTAAACTTTGCATTGAGCTAAGCTTACCGATATTATCTGTATCTATTTTTATTTTTCATTTTCAGAATTAATAAGTTTGCAACAGAACTGAAGGATTAGCAATGCACGTGTTTTTACCGCCGAATGTTAAAATGTGAAAATCACCTGCAGGTGAATTTAAAGTTTTCTGAAGATTTATTTTTTAGCATAAAAAAAAATTCTTGTTTTTATTTTTTTACTGATCCATCTTGAATTCATTAGTTTTGATTTTAAGTCACATTTGCCTTTCATGCTTCAAAAATATTCCTAATCTGAGATTGATGCTGATGAACTATCAATCCTCAATCAGCTGCAGTTTACTTGGTACAAAGCTTTGTAGAGAATGTTTGTTTATAATGATCGTTTTTCGCTTTTAATTTTTCATGTAGGGCCTGTTTGAAGTGTAACGTGGAAACAAAACCAGTGAAACCACTGTTTTATCAAATCAAACTTTTAAGTTTAAAACATAAAATGTAAAGAATTTCTATTCTTGTTTTGTGAGACAGCAGCACTGCCACAAAGCCCACTGCTCATCAATTATTAAAGTTTGGCAGCTCACTAAAGCGCCGTTACCAAAGTTTTGTTCCCTGTAGTTATTCTGAAGGATCCAATCGGCGTCGGCCTTCGATTACTGTGGTTGAACAAATGATTTGTTGGAGAAACTTGGTGCTTTTTAGAAGCTGCCAATGTGGTAAATCCATCCAAAAATGAACCATATCAGCTGTGGGTGCTTTTTTTTTTTTTTTTTTATTAAACTGCATGTCGACAAACATTTTTATTCAGTCACTTTTTAAGGGGCATAATGTCGGATTGAATTCCCATTTTGTACGAGAAAAGAACATATCTGTGGAAATCAGAACCTGATTCAGTGTTTGGGTTTCCTGAACGCGACCTCTGACCCTGAATCTCCATCTCATTAACATAACGGACGTCTTTCTTGCATTTCTCCATATACCAGCCCTTACTCTGTGAGAATGTACATGAGGGGATGTTTTCTTTTTATTCCTGGCAATGGAGGGGGGGGAAAGAAAAAAAACATCTAAATAATTTGAATGGTTTCATTTTATATTTTTATTTGTATTGCCAACCTGTAAGCTAAACAAATGTGAGCTGGTTTTACAGAACTGTAACTTTTTTTTTTCCTAATAAAAAATTTGTCTTCAGAAGATGAATGTGGAGTTTTTTTCTGCCTGGTTCAATATCTTATGCTTACCCTAAAAATAGTTTGATGTTCAGTCTTTGCATCACAGCATGATGATGAGTATTTCCCTTAAACCTCTATGTCGAAGGTCAGAGGCCAACAGGGGGTCTGTGACCCCTAGGGGGGCCCAAGATGGAACTGCATGGGGGTCGGAAAGCTTTGGTTGATTAGACTTTTTTTTTTATCACATACTGCAATTTTTTTCACTAATTAAAATGTCTTTAAATCCACATTAACATGAATTCAACACACTGTAGTAAACAGATAAATGGAGGCAGATGTCTTTCAGTCATCAATGCACACATTCTGGGCACCGTTTCATGCACAGCACCTGTCCCATCAGGAATCAGAAATACTTTAATAATCCCAGGGTGAAATTACTTTTGTTATATCACAAATTCATACCATATATATATAATTAGGGGGTCACCGCTCCATCTCGCCACCATTTTGGGGGTCTTTGGCCTGGAAAACATTGAAGACCCTTGATTTATGTTACTCTTACCATATAAAAACAACCCTGCCGTCCATCAAACCCAATCCATACAGGGAACAGGATCTGTACCATCAACTCATGATTACAGCACTGTTTAATCCATTCATTTATCACTGAAGAGATGAATGTTTAACTGTGCTCAATACCTAAAGTCTCCTGAAGTTCTAACGTGTTTGAGAGAATGAAAACTTAGTCATTTCTGTTTAACGAGTCACCTTAGAGCAGAGGAATATGACGGTGTTCTGTCAGATCAGCCTACCCCGTCAGACCATAGTCAATATCAGGGCTGTAAACTCTCACCCATTGGGAGTGAGACTCGCCCATCTCGGTGTCTTCACACACTCACTCTATATTCC